TATCTATCTATCTATCTATCTATCTATCTATCTATCTATCTATCTATCTATCTATTTATCTATATATCTATCCATCCATCCATGCATTCAGTCCAATACCCACCCACCCGTCCATCCATCCATTTATCAATCAATCCATCCATCCATCCATCAATCCAACCATCAATCCAACCATCCATTCATCAAACTCGACGCAATCCATCCCATCCATTGCATTTATCCATCCATTCCATTCACCGATTCATCCATCCATCCATCCATCCATCCATCTATCGCATCCATCCCATCCATACCATCCAATCCTCCATCCATCCATCCCATCCATCCATCATCCATGCGCATCCATCCATGCCATCCCATCATCCATGACACCCATCCATCGCATCCATCCATCCATCCAATTCCATCCATCCATCCATCCATCAATCCATCCAGTCCCCATCCATCCATCCATCCATCCATCCATCAATGCCATCAATTTATCCATCTTATCCAACCATCATCCATCTCATCCATCATCCATCCATCCACCATCCATCCATCCATCCATCCATCCATCCATTCCATTCATCCTCCCACTGAAAATTTATCTCCGCGAGTATTCTCCGGCGCGCGGCCGCAAGAGGAGCCACGTGCCGACGGGCGCGCCGATGCGTTGCTGCCCATGACTCTATATAATACTCAGTCTCTATATAGTTAGTATAATAGAGATCGTGGTTGCTTCTCGACAGCGCGAAAAAATGAACGGGCCCGCGTAGGTGGCGCTTTTGGTGTGTTTTGAAACTCCCGCGGCTTAGCCAACGAGGCGCCATCGATCGACCGACCGCGCGAATAACGAATAAAAATACGAATAAAAAATATCGCTAATTCATTCAGATCATACCGCCGTCGAAAATCGTGGGTTACTTAAGTTGGTCCAAGGTTATTATGAAGAGCAAAGGAATTGCCAATATCTAACTTATATAACAACTTATAGATTCAAAGTTATAATAGGAAGCGAAATTTGTCATAAAATAAGAATCGTTCGGTTAAGCTAGTAGTAAGGCTATGTATAAATATCATTTGCACTTTTGTGATTAGCCCTCGGTCTGCTACACGTGCACAAAATAAATCGAAAAAAATCGCAAAACTTCGCAAACTTTGTCCAGGGTGCATAAAGTACCGAGAAGAAAAAACTGGCAGCACAATCACGGAGTGTCATGTCAGCGCCCAAAATAAAGTGTTCAACAAATAAATAGTTAACTCACTGTTGTTTATGACAAATGTGATATGCACATATAGAAATTTGTAGTATATACAATTATTTATGGCACCTTATGCCTACTATTATGATATAGGGTTTAGTATCCTTTAATTAGTATTAATTATTTAGTAAGCAGTTACAGTCCCTTCGTGCTTGGTCTTCGACTGTTCTTACATGTATTAAGCCTCAAAATAAACTTTTCTGAATATTGAGTGTTGCAAAGTCCAAGAGACCGAAGAAGTAAGACGATTGAACATTTTAATTCGTTAACATTATTTTATAAGAAGAATTGTTTCTCTCTGTGTGCCCAGGACATAAGTGTGCAATACAAAGTTTCAAAAGTTCAACAAGGTCTTTTGTTTATATTTTTCACCAACATAGTTTAATATATAAGAAGCATGATTACAGACAATCAATGCGCGATGACGGTATATTCCGCGGTTTTACGATATCTGCTACTCGTATAGATGAAGAAGTGACGCCCCAGCCCCCTCCACTACTTATAACCGGAAGCTAGTGTGTGTTACAGCACGTCTCGTATGCGACGCTAATAGAACTGATGAAATCTCAGGGGGGGGGGGGGGGGGGGGGGGGGGAGGCGTGTAATCTCTAGGTGCTAACACGTATGCGAAAATATATAAAAAATGCCGTAACGGCCGCACCGACGAAAATTAATAGACGGTCAATACATTAAACGTCTGATCACCAGCGCGTCACTATCCGTCATTCGTCATCGTCACGCCACGCAACTACGACACCGCCGTCACGCGTTCACGCTTTTCGCTCTTTCTCTCTTTCTCTCGGTCTCTCTTTATTTAGTGTGAAAATGAACATTTGCGGTTAAGTTAGCGCAGGAGATGTCCGAGCGCACAGCGAGCGACACGATCAAAACTCAACGGGTAGTTCGACGCGGCGTGCGTGCGCATGCGCGTCGCTCCGCGAGTTCTCGCACGATCTAACATCAATATCGTCGGCCGGCTTTAACCCACGGGACTTGGAGCGTTTCAATAAAATATAATTAAATAATCTATTTACTAGCCATAAAGTCGAAATATTTAATTGAAACGTCGTCAAGCTCCTGTCCAAGGTCTTTTGTGTACAGCCATCATTAGTTGTCGGGGACCGGACGCAGGCCGAACGCGACGATAAAACGCCCCCGCCCCCCCCCCCCCCCCCCCCCCCCCCCCGCCCCCCCCCGGGCCCCGCCCCCCCGCCCCCTCACGGGTCGTCAGAACTCGGCGTCGCGTGCGCAGCGCCGTCGCCCGCGAGTTCTCGCACGACTACTTCACGGCGGATGTAGGAAGGGAAGTTGTCATTACCGTGGTTCACATTTGTAGAAGCACATGATCTACACGCTGCCGCCAACGTGATTTCGGAATAGGTGCCGCTTGCGTCGCTTGCC